ATATAAACTTATTATAAATTTTAAAGATATATAATTTGAATAGATCAAAGAACGATTTAAGATTTTATTTTAGTTTCATCCATAAGTAATAATAATAGTCTATCATTCATATATTTCTTTACTATCACAAATTATTTATAAGAGAAATATAAATTTTTATTTAAATTATATGTGCAACTTATTTTACATTTTAATAATATATAATTTGAATAGATCACTTGAAAAATTTAAGATTTATGTTATTTTCATTCATCAGTAATAGTAATAGTAATTGTCTATAATCCACACGTGAAAATATTAGGGTTAGGGTTATGTGGGTAATTTGGAGATTGTATAAAAATATTAAGGATAAAAAGGTAAAAATGTGGTCAACTTAAAACAGCTTATAAGCTAGGGAAAAAAAGCACCCCTACCCCAGCTTTTAACTTTTGGCTTAAAATAAGTTTTTTTTAACTTAAAATAAGTTATTTTGAGGACTGCCAAACAGCTAAATAAGTCAAAAACCAGTTTTTAAGTCAGTTTGACCAGCTTTTAAGCTGAGCCAAACAGGCTCTAAGTCAAAAATCAGCTTTTAAGTCAGTTTGATCAGCTTTTAAGTTGAGCCAAACAGGCTCTAAATCAATCATAGTTAGTAGGTTGAGATATTTATTTAAGGAGAGTTAACGAGTGGTTTTGATAGGTAAACACCTAAACTTATCAAATTAGCGAAACACACCTAGACATTGACTAGACCAAATGTTTGTCTAGAAATGCTTCTAGGCACATTTGACCATAAAATCTTCGTCCACCAGTCATATATATAATCTCTTTATTTTTTGATAAATTATTTTTAAAAATATATTTTTAATTGATTTATTTTAAATTCTAAATTTTTCCCTTTTCAAGCCGAGGTATCAATACCACGAGTTCACGACAAAGACAAGATCGACTACGTCTAAATAGGTGAAGAATATGGTGATAATTTTAACCTTTAACCTAATATTAATTTATTTAGATTTGATATGATGAAATTATTTCTTCACGTTAAGTGTCATGTGGATGGATTTTTAACAAAATAGAGATTATTTTACATACGTTGGTGAAGTTAGTGAGGTCTCAAATGTGTTTCGCTATATTGACTGATAGATCAAGTAGGAAACTAATACTCTCAATAATTCATACGTAAAACTCAAAAAATTAAAATAATTTAGGTATATTTTTGACCCTTTTAACTCTTACTTCAAATTTAATTTCCTTAAACCCATGCCTTGGTTGCATTCTTTTATGTGATTCCCCCTTACAACTTGTTTGAATTATTCTTACTATATGTTCGTTTTGTATCTTTTTCTTATTTTTATATAACAAATGATTTAATTTGATCGCTTTGTTGTTGATTTATTTGTTTCTTATGTTACCTTATTTATATTTATTAGCTAATAATATTATTTTACACTTCATTATCGTTTTAATAGTAATTCTACTTCGTATTGATTTTTTCTTTATAAAATTGTAAGCTTATATTTTAAATTGTTGGTGCATGATATGATATTATAAAATGACCGCATAATTCATACAAGCTATCCAAACATTAATAATTAAAAGCAGAACCCTAAACCAATTTCAACATATCCAAATGTAAAATCAAAGAACAAAATGTTGATCCTTTTCGGCCTCACATCGCAAACAAATGTTTTATTTTCAAATCAGCTTAAAATGGTCTCCGTTTTTTTTGGTTTCTCACCCGGTGTCTGGATCCCATACTGGAGCTCTAACTAAATTCGAATCGCGCACTGCAGGGCTCATTCGGGGGTGACACTCCCAACAGAATATTCTTCATGCCCAGGGCTCGAACTCAAGGCCTCTGGTTAAGGGTGAAGCATTCTCACCAGTGTACCACAACTCACATTGATAAAAATGGTCATAAGTTGATAAAACATCTTAAATACTTCATCCATTTTTTAAGATTCCTCTACTATTGTCACGATCTAAAATTTGAGGTCATGATAGTACACATCTTGGAAATTCAATTTGTGTGTAAGCCGAACGATATAACACATACGAGACTCCCAAAGGAATGTCAGAACAGAACTGAAGAGAAAAGAAATACAACAAAGATGTTCTCACATCTAATTATGCACTTCTAGTTATTGAAGTATATGTTAAGTCTTCAAAGAAAAATCAGAGACTATAAATGGAAGATTGAGACCAATGACGATCTGAAAACATGATCTTACCACAACTCTGAATGGAATCATCGGCTATATCCGATCAACCATCACGAGGGACACCCTAACTAGGATTTTCATCAAGAGGATAACATAAGTTGGGGGTGAGTTAATTCCACATGTACTTGTAGGTTTGACCGATTGAGTATAAGGAAATAAATCCAACTTAAGAAATAAACTACGAAATGCTTCCATTTTCATACATAAAAGTCTCGTTCCGGCATCGGTGCCACCAATTCATACAAGAACGACGCAAGTAAACAACTGTGCCACCACGTTATTTTTTTTAAAAAAATAGTTTTATAAAATATATTTTATTTTAACAAAATTTAATTAAAATATAATTTAAATTGGTTGTGTGAATTTCTAAGAATCAATACTTGAATGACTTTGTATGTGAAAATATTCATAATTGAGTGAATTAAAGTTGAAATGAAAGTTGAGTGATTTTCTGTGAGAAAAACCCTTAGTTGAATGACATTTGAGGAAAATATTTCATAGTTAAGTGACTTTCCAAAATTGTTGCATTAATTAGAAACTAGAAAGAGTGAAATTTTAATTTGAAAAAATTATGTAACTAAGCTAACTTTTACTACTTAATTATATATTACTAAGAAAATTGATTGCGCTTCGCGCAGTGGTGAACTATGTCAATAATGTATTTATGAACTTTTGATAATTTAAGTGTTTTTGAGTGAGTACAGCCCTACAATAAATTGTCAAGAATGTTTTATCCAAAGATGAAATGAATTTTTTTAATCTTAAAACCAAAAAGATTTGATTCTAAATTTTTATGTATTTTGTTATTAATTTATCATTTTATTGTAGTTACTCATCACCAAAGTCTTTAGAAAAAATATATAATTTTTTCATCGTCTATACTATATTTGTATTTTAAAAAAATTGGTACAAACATTTTATTCATCAATTGTGATAGTTTTTCTCCTATTATAGACCTCTACATATAAAATATAAATATCATAAATCTTGTATAATTAGTTATGTACTTGATAAGTTAATTAATATTTTTAAGAACATCTCTTGGAGTTCAAGGAAACAATGTATTTCACTCATAATTTGGATTAAATGATGTCTAGGCAAGTCCCTTATTCAAAATCATTCGCAGTCGATAACACAACTTTGATATCCAAAAGACATATTTTGTTGTTTATGTTTCAATCAATTTGGTTAAAACTTTAATCTTTGCGACTTTAATCTAATATCTATAAGGATATAATTATTTACTTAATATTCATTATTATGGATTCATCCTTCTTTAAGGAGTAATTCATTGACTCTAATCAACCATTTGAAAGCAAACTTTTGATTAAGGTTGAGTCAATACTTACCATCCCACTACATTCCTTTATTTATTAAGTGTCACTAATCGATTGAATGTCTTGATAAGATAGAAAGTTGAATAACTAAAACTCTAAGGTAGTGTGGAATCACCATAACTTTGAACACTCAAAAGTCTATTCTTGGACACCCCATTGTCTTTTAGCCATTGAAAACATTAAAATCATTTATTTTAAAAGTTAAAGAATTATAATCTACATGACACCAATAGTTTAATGATTACATAAAACTCTTGACTAACATATTTCAACATAATGGAAAAAAGTATAAATACAAACAACAAAGATTAAAACATGTATTCAAAAATAGAAATTAATAACATAAGCATAAATTAATGATTGTAGAGAATATACCACTTGTTGACTCAATATATATAACGACTTGTATAAAAACTATCTAATATACAAAACAAACTGAATATATAAAAATTGTTAGAAGTAATGGAAAATTATTAAATTATTCTAACTTTTTGACTTAAATATAAAGACTTTTATAAAATCTATCTAATATACAAATCACATAGTAATATATACAAATTGATACAAGTCAAATTACTCAATTTCATACACTTAGTTGATTAAAATTTATATCGGATTGTATAAGAACTATTTAATAAACAAAACTATTTAATAAACAACACAAATAGTAACATATACAAAATGATACAATAATAGAAAAACACTCAATTTCATACACGTAATGAATAGATTCTTATATTTACTTATCGTTGTTCAAGCTACAAACTCTAAATAAATTGATTGTTTCTGTTCTGATATAAAATAAGCTTTGATTAAAGAAAAACCGTGAATAGTCCTCATAAGGAAGAAGTCTTATTGTGGTACTGTATCTTAATTAATTCACTATACAGAAATTATAAATTATATAGGGATTAGTATGAAATTATGCATGAAACGTATTTTTCTGTAAATTTTCATATAAATTCTCAAAAAAGATTCACATATAACTCACAATTTTCTCGTAGTAAGTAATTATACTAAATTACCTTTATTTAAGACATTCCCCAATTAATGCACAATTAGTTAGGCATAATTAAATATATTTTTTAAATAGTTAATTATAAATAGGTTGAAACATACAAATCATTTATATTATAGCTAAAAAAATATGTAAATAGTCAAAGTATAATTAAGGAGGCCTACTAGCTGTTTGTGAATTTTTTTTATCGATCTGACAGTTTCTTATTGGGCCATTTTTTAGTCACATTTTACACATCCCTAAAAGATAAAATCTAGAGTAGATTCCCTTCCTATCTTGAATTTTAAGGAAGCTTAATACAAAAGCACTAGAAAATCACATCCTCAAAATATAAAAAAAAAATCATAGAAACTATAAAGTAGCTAAGCTTTTTTTTCTGTGTCATTTATGAATTAGGACTTAGGTTAGCTAGTGGCTAAATAAACTATATAAATAAGATTTCTTCGTAAAAAATTTAGGCCACTCATCTAATAAACTTTGTATTAGTCATGCAGACTACAAATTTCTCCCAATTCAATATTCCATCGATTGTATGGAACTCACCTCCCCCTACAACCACCATGCTCCGTGGCAAAACTACCTCAACGCAGAGGTTATCTCCGCCCAACGCGGTGGCTTCAACCACATCTCGTCACCAGGTTACTCACTCAATGCCACCAGAAAAATTGGAAATCTTTAAGTCATTAGAACCTTGGGTTTTCGAAAACATCCTCCCCTTCCGCAAGCCCATAGAGAAATGTTGGCAGCCCATTGAGTTTCTCCCTGACCCATCTCAAGGGCCCGAACATTTCGAGGAAGAAGTTCGGGCCCTAAGGCAACGAGTTTTAGGGCTTTCGGATGAGTACTTTGTTATGCTTGTGGGTAATATGCTAACTGAGGATGCTTTGCCTACTTATCAGACCGCAATTAATACATTTGATGGAGTACGCGACGAGACTGGATCGAGCCCATGTCCATGGGCAATTTGGACTCGGGCATGGTCCGCTGAGGAAAATCGACATGGTGATCTGCTACGAACTTATCTTTATCTTTCAGGGAGAGTGGATATGTTGATGGTCGAGAAAACACTACAATACTCAATTGGAGCTGGAATTGTAAGTTTTGCCCTCAACATTTGTACAAAATTATTTTGTTAAGATGACCTATATATAACATAATATAACCTAAACAATTCAATAAATATATTTCACTGGGACGCACATGATCTGGTTGGTTTGAGTTTTTCAAAATCAAATCAAATTATTCATGTAAAATTTTAAATTTATAAACCAAATCAAACTAATAAAATTGAGATTTTTTTTGGACTTTTCAACCTCGGGTTGGTTCGAGTTTTTCAATACCAATCAAAACCATTGTGTCGTATTTTTAAATCAAACCATACAAATATACCTCGATTTTTTAGGTTTTTGAATTTTTCGGTAAAGTAGTAATTAACTTATGCTCCATATATTTCTTTGGTCCAACCAAAATATAACTATCTAAGGTGTTTTTTTAAGAAAATAACACAAAATATAAAATGCGTTATGACACTAAAATATTTCAATAAAAATAATAATGAAATCATCAAATAAAACAAATAATGTAAAGTCATAATTAATATGATCATAATTTAAAAGTACTAAATTATGCTAAAATAAGTTAATAATGATTAGTTTCATGATGATTAAACATAAAAGAAAAAATAAAATTAGATTATGTATTTAAATGTCTAAATCAATGTAAAACTAATTAAGAACAAATATTCAACATTATTGTCATTTTTACTATTGAATTAATTTATTTTGTTAGCATAACATTGATTTGATTTCGAATTGAGCCTTATCATAGTTATAATATCTATGGACCATAATATTTATTGGACCATTCAAAATTTTAAGTCTCTTTAAAAGCTTTAAAAAATATGTTAAAAAATAAAAATTATGAAAATGTACAAGTAATATTTAGAAATTACATCAAAGTAAATATTTGGCATAATACATAAATATGTCATTTAACTTGGCTTCAAATTAATTTATGTCCTTTAACTTTGAATGTGCACAAATAGACACTTAAACTTGTATAAAGTTGAACAAATAGACACTAATGTCCTACATGTCATTTTTTATCCTACGTGGTGTCCTACGTGTATTGTGTCATGTGGGACTCATGTGTTTATTTACTTAAAAGTTGGATAGTTAAAGTGTCTGTTTGTGCATTATGAAAGTTAGAGGTCAAAGATAAAATTTTAAGTCAAGTTAGGATCCAATATATGTATTATGCCTAAATACTTTTATGTATAAAATAAATTTTAAAAATAATATGTATAATGTCGGATTGATTTGATTTTGAGTTGACTTTTTTTAGTTGAAACCAAATCAACCCAAGTCTAATTGAATTTTTTTTAATACCAGATCAAGTCAAACCAAACCAAACCGTTAGTCAATTTTTTTTTCAATTTGATTTGATTTTCTATTGAGTTTGTACACCCTTATATTGCACTACTCCTAAAAGAAGTAAATAACATTAATTAAATGTTCAATTTACTAGCCTTTTGTTCCAAAACAATATTCAATTCGATCACTTTTATTTGTAATTTATTTTCAAAATAGATTTTTATTTTTACTTTGTCACTTTTGATATATAAAAGAAAAACACAATAATTCTTTTTTTTTGAATATTTTACCCTCAACGTTATATACTTATTTTTCAAATAATTTTTCATCACATCATTTGATAGAGTTAGTAAAATACCTATACCATTGATTATCTTCTTAATGGATATGTGATATGTCAATCTACTCAAATCATTTGATAGAGTTAGTAAATTACCTATACTTATTTTTCTATAAATAAAAAGTGTTTTTATTATCTTAGCCCTAAATATAAGTTGTCAATCACGTTTGCATCTTAGGACGTCGGAGTAGAGAATAATCCATACATGGGTTTTGTGTACACGTCATTTCAAGAGCGAGCCACATTTTTATCGCATGGTAATATGGCTAAGCTAGCTATAGAGGGCGGAGACCCCATGCTAGCGCGTATATGTGGAACCATTGCAGCAGATGAGAAGCGTCATGAGAATGCCTACACAAAAATTATTGAAAAATTACTTGAAATAGACCCAAACACAACTATGATAGCCATTGCCTATATGATGAAGAAGAGAATCACAATGCCACTGCACCTCATGTATGATGGACAAGATCCAAATATATTTAAGCACTTTTCAGCAATTATCCAAAAGCAAGGGGTTTACACATCTCGTGATTATGTTGAAATATTAGAATTTTTCATAACAAGATGGAAATTGGAAAAACTTGAAGGCTTGACAACGGGGGAGGCCAGACGTGCACAGGATTTTGTGTGCAAACTTCCAAGTAAGATTAAGAGGTTTGAAAATCGAAATAATATATTAGACTCACATCCGGTGAAGCTTAGTTGGATTTTTAATAAGCAGGTTTGTGTTTAAATGTATATATTAATTTGTAATAAATACTTATGTAAAATTAAAACTTGTTCGTAGTTAATTTAACTACCACCAGCCGAACATAAAGCGAATATGCTTGCGACGGAAGAGGCAAAGAGACTACTTTTTAATCATAGTGGCAAACAAGCGAATCAAGTCAAATATGAATCGATCGAAAAGGAATTAAAATAAAAAAGATAAAATACTCAACTCGACTCACATTTTAAAGAGGTAAAAATTAGTTATCCAATGAATAATATAGATAAATATAGATATCCATGTTATAATAGAGATTTTATTAAAAACTTGAAAATAAAATCTTTTAAATTTATTTTTTTTAATCAGTCCACCCTCCCTAGCCCCGTTCAAAAAAATTAGTTTGTTTTTTCATTAAAAAAGTTTATTTTTTAAAAATTATTTCACTCATTCCCCTTCCCCTACCCCCCAGCACCCTCCCTACCCCAATCCAATTCCAATCAAAATGTAAAAATATTAAATAATTTTTTTACCACCCACCTCCTCCCCCCCACCCCCCAAAGAATAAAAAATAAATAAATAAGTCTTTTTTAACCCCACCACACACACACGGACACCCAATCCCAAAGAAAACCTTAATTTTTTTTATCAAAATTAATACTCATATATAAGTTATCCATTCTGAAAGAAGAATTAAAGAGAATAACAAAATTGTACTCACCAGATTTATCGATAAAAATTATATATTTTTTTATTTTTGCTTGCAGTTAAATTTAATTTTTAATAAATTTATTAAGAACAAAGCGGTCTCACTATAAGATTTGAATAATTCTTTCTTTTTTTTGAGTAAGATTTATTGCATCCGATCTCATTATAAGATTTGAACAATTCTCCTTTCTTTAAGTAGAATTCATTGCACCCGATTTTAAAGTTTTCTGCCCAAATTAAATTGCATAACAATCATGGAAACTACAGAGTAGCTATACTTTTTAGGGCAACTTTCACATATAGCAAACAAAAAATTCATATTTGTATGTTATAGCAAACTTTGCATAATTGCGCTCCATAGCAAACATAAAACTGTATAATTTGCTATACATATACAATTGTATAATTCGCTGGCCTAAATTGTATAA